GGTACACACACACACACCGGTACACACACTCACACACAGACACACACACAAACTCAGACACACACACATACACCGTTGCGCACACACACACACTCAGACACACACACACCAGTACACCAGTACACACACACACACACACACACACACACACACACACACACACACACACACACACACACACACACACACACACACAAAGAGTCTATACTATTGTAAAGTGCTGCAGGCTCATAGTCTTTTCTTGTAGTCTGATTTCAATTCAGCCAAAACCAACACAATAGCGTGCACCTCAAATCAAACCACTCTCAAAAAAAGTTCACAGGGTCAAAGCTGCAATCCCGTCTTGTTTGCACAGCTCCTGTCTGTGGGAGCTGAGTAGAGCTCATGATCTGTGGCTGTTAGAACATACCGCTGGGCATTGCTGAGTCTGACATTCATCAGAGCTGCATCTGGATAGGGGAGCGAGATTAGATCATGTAATCTGGAGAGGATGGGAGGGCTGGCCAGGAAGCGGCCATAATGAATGAGATGAATCAGGGAAATGGGTTTGGATGGCAGGTTTCAACCATCAGGCCTTTAATACTGGAGGAAGATATGCAGGATCATAAGGAATGTCTATTTACTGATAAAATGGAAATTGATCTTGATCTCACATTTCTATTCTTAGGAGATCTTTAATAGACAATATGAACAGTATCTCACAAAGTAGGCTGAATCATCTCTTTGTATAATGGGTTATCAGACATTGCAAACTACTATATCAGTATTAGGAAATTATGAATAATGTACGAGGTGTGCAATAAGATAGAAGACCATTGCAGGTCTTGGTAGCCCATGCACAGTAATGATATATTGTATATCTATTGTATTTTTTACATTGATACATTTTTCAAGTAATTTTTCTTATTTTTCAAGTTGTTTCAGACACACAGAAGAGTCTTGACTAAAATAAAGCTTTTGGACATTTCCATCGTTATTGCACAATACGTTAAGTTAAGAATTAAAACGATTAGAATAAGAATCTATCAAATCAGACAAGGCCAGCTGCTGGCAAATAACTTAGAATAATTCTCACAGTTGTTATTCACATGTCTAACACATATTTGTTATTTTTAATGCGTTCATTTATACCTTTCACTTCACTGGGTTTATTTTTTTATTATTATTTATAACAGTTCAGAAAGTTTGCTTCGTAAGCGTGCTCACGTGTTACAGCAGCCAGCAGGAAACACGTCACAGGAAACACTTCGCTTCCGAGAGCGAGGTCAAGATGGCGCGCTGCAGCAGGTGAAGGGGACTCAGCGGCAGCCGGTCGTTCGCTTGAAGAACATGTACAAAACACCATGTAGTAGACTGACGGGAGTCTGGAAATGCCTTCCGCGCGATGGTATTAATAACTATATTATGTTAATGAAGCGTATGTGAGCTTTCGCTCTTTCCGGGGTGGCTTTTTAAGAGAATGCTAGCCGGTTACCCTAGCCACTGAAGCGCTACTGCAGCAGTATGACCTTACAATATCAACACAGTTTACGTGACATGAACCTATTTTTCAAAGTGGTGCCAGGACACACATTTGTATAATAACATGGGTATGACATAGGTATTACAACGAGAAGGTGATTTATGAGGACATTTTCCATGTCCCCGTAATTCAAAAGGCATACATAATTCAGAATGAGATTTTTTGAAAATCAAAAAATGCAGAAAGTTTCCTGTGAGGGGTAGGTTTAGGGGTAGGGTTGGTGTAGGGCAATAGAAAATATGGTTTGTACAGTAAAAAACCATTACGCCTATGGAGAGTCCCCATAAACCATAAAAACAAACCTGTGTGTGTGTGTAAAGAGAGAGAGAATATTATGTGCTGAAATTGAAATTTGTATAACTGAAAAACTGCTGTATTTTTATTTTTATTTATTTTTTGTGCTGTATTGTCTCCTCGTGAGTGTTGCATGTGTAATTTGACATGACGTCACTGGAAGGTTGTCAAATCTCTAAGTAAATTGAGTTGATTTGACATGGACTTGATGCATATAAAGCATATACTATGCAATTGATAATTTGAATAGGAAAGTTTCACGTTTTATACAATGAAATGGTCTGACTCCATATTTTGTTCACATGAAAAATCACTCCAAAAGGTATTGTTATACACAGTTGTAAAGGTAAAAAGTCAATTAAAGCTTACAACATTGTGAGCAGGTATGCTATTTTTGCATGAAGTGGCAACACATTTTTCTTCTGTATTTTATATATTGTGTTTTTAATGCTACTGTATTGTATTGTACTCCACCAGCACTGGTTATTATTATTTAAATTATGCCTTTTTACTTTTGAATTAATATTTCTCATTGTATTTTTTGCTGTTGTCATGTTCTTGGATGTGGTGGCATTGACTTAAACAGTTATCAAGTATTGTCTTCTCTTGTTGAAGGTTTGCTTGGTGTCAGTGTGCAGCAGAAGCTCATTGCAAATGCATCTAGGAGTCACATGAGCGTCAGGAGTCTGATTCAACTCTGCAGGAAAAATCAAGCAGAATGGATCACGTTCCAGCATCTCTGCTTCCTGAAGAGACAGGTATAGGCTGTGAAGTGCTGCCTTTATGGATGCATAACAGTAATACATTGACCAAGGCAATTCAGCTCTTCAGCTCTCTGTTTATAGACATTATTGATATCTGTAATTATTATCTAGGCTTTTTTGATCCAACTCTCTTACAATATTTTTGCAGGAGGATATTATTTCTATATAATATTATTTATTTTTCTTTTAAATTGTTGCAAAATAAATTAGGCATATGCAAATTCCATGTAACATAAATAATCAGTCAAATAAATATTCAGCGTTTTAACCATATTTCTTCCATCTTTCAACAGTATGTGAAGAGCAGCAGCAGTCTCTGCCAGAGAGCGAGAGCCAAGCAGGAGCCTGTTGCCTCTGCGCTGGATGATCGAGATGATTCGGTGGTCAGTCAGGTTCAGCAGATCCCAGCCTTAAAGCCTGAACCAGGTACTGTGGTGCCGACATGTGACCAGATTGAACCGGAAGCGGCCAGGGCAGCCCGCTTGGAGGCCCGGCAGTGGAAGGAGTTGAAAGTTGAATACAGTGATTTACCAGGGATTTACGCACGGCTCTCCAAAATTAAATTAACAGGTATGATATGTTTTATGGATTTTGTATGAATGAAAGTCATATTGCGATATAAGATACTGTTAGTTGAACATGAACTTGTAGTTACTTATGCAGTAATCAAAGCTAATCATGAGCTAATCTGCTGATCATGAAGCTCATGGAAAGTTAAATGTGATACTTAATCTAAAAAAGCACTGACTTGTCTAGTGATTGATTATTAAGTTTAATTGCTTTATTATGGTTAATCATGTAATCAGTTTAAAAAATAGTCTTAGCCCATTAAGTACTTTGGCAGTTTTCATCCTTTTAAATTTTCTTTAGCTTTTTCTGAAAGGACAATATTTTATGTGGTGAGCATTCCACTTGCATGTCATGCATAATTAACTTGCATAATATGCTGGAAGTTAGATTTCTGACAAATTTTAGAGATATGATAGCATGACAATTTATCAATGTCTAATAGCCTAATGAGAACACTCTTGAATACCAGACACTCTTCTTTTGTTGTTGTTGTTGAATTGATGCATTTTTTTTTACAAGATGTTAAAACTCCATTGTATTTAATATGAAATGCTGCCAAAAGTTTTTTTTGTGTAATTTATGATCAGTTATTTTATCATTTTTAGTTATTTGTTCATTATTTTTCATTTACTTTTGTCATTACATTTTTCTAAAAACTGAAGTTGCCTTTTGAACTAAATCAATAAGCTACTTTGTAACCTCACTCTTTCTTTCTCTCTGTAGCTCTTGTGGTTACTACAGCAGCTGCTGGCTATGCCATGGCTCCAGTGCCCTTTGACCCTGTCACTTTTTTGATGGCTTCGTTCGGAACGTTTCTCTCCTCCTGTACAGCCAATTCCATCAATCAGGTCAGCCACCCCATGCACATTCATAAAATAACTTCACACTCAGCAGAACATGACTGGACATCATGAAGCCGAGTGATCTGACATCCAGCTGGAGCAAGCTAGCAAGTGTTAGACCACTTCATCGTGCGTGTGTGTGTGTGTGTGTGTGTTAAAAGCTGTGCATGTCTGATGTTGTGTACTTTTAGATCTGAAATTCATTGTACATTTAGATACTGTGACTAAGTAATCAAAGCAGACTGATTAATTACCATGAACTTGGACATTTTGAGATTACTGGCATCTGCTATGACACATTAACATAAATATTTCTATATTTATAATATAATACTTAATATATGTGTGTGTGTATATATTAACATAATTTTCCTGCCTAATTCTCATTATTGTAACATTATTTTTATTACTGTAATATACAATTTATTGATGTAATATTTATCTATAACTAGCTGCACAACTCTGTACTAGCTGCACAACTCTGTAGACATTGGATTGATTTGAATAACTTTAATGTACTTGAATTTTGCACTAGGGTTGTGACGGTGAGGAATTTACCCACCGGTTAATCGACGCGGGACAACACCGGTAATACCGGTATCACCGCTTGCAAAAGCGGCGTACACATTTTACTTTCACTTTCAAATAGCGGCAATTCGGCGTAAAGCAATTGTTAGTTTTTTAGTTTGTTTGAATTGTCCCTCTTTTCCTCGCTTTCTTTTCGCTTTTACATAGCTTAAAAGCACCGTGCGCATTTTACTTTCACTTTCGAATTAGCGGCAATTCGACATCAATTGCTTGAATGCAAAATACAGCGTTAAACTCAATTTAGCCTATATGTAAAACATAGAACATTTATTAACAAAACTAATAAAAATACACCATGCTATATGGCAGGCTATGCCTAATATAAAATAACAAATAACTTACATAAAGTTTAAATAGGTAGCCTATACAAAACTGGAAATAAGTAAACGTATAATATATAACTAAATAAATAAGAAATGTAGAACGTTTATTAGCAAAACGAATAAGAAAGCTTGGAGGCACGGCATACACCTTGATGTCAAATAAAATAAATTACACAAAGTTTAAATAAAGTAAAAATCAGCAAACAATGTGGAACCAATTAAATAAGAAACAAATGTTTAAAAAACCTTCCAAAATCACCTTAGATATACAGCAAAAGTCAACAGGCATTTCAAAATCCAAAATACTGCCAAACAGGCGCTTTTGCATTTCGTTTTGAAACTAAATCATCCGCGATCGTCTTGTCTGTCTCACCTCACCTCACTCTTCTTGTCAGTCAGCTCGACTCACTCTCCTCACTGGAGAAATGAAATCTGATCTGTAATGCGACTGTCGTTCGGCACGCTGCATTGAGCAGCCACGTTCAGTTTTTAATTGTAGTGTCTGTTCTATTACTGAACTAAAAAATTTTTTTACTATAAAAAAATCTAAACGACGGTGGGGGTCGGTGCCACGGTGGGCAAGTGACGTAACCGGTGTTGCGGCTTAACAACGGTATCACCGTCAGCACCGTCTATCACGGCAAGACTATTGTGCACCAAACACTAGGTATACAGTCATGGCCAACAGTTTTGACAGTGACATAAATTTAGTGTTTTGCAAAGTTTGCTGCTACAGTATTTGTAGATTATTTTTCCACATGTTTCTATGGTATACTGAAAAACAATGATAAGCATATCATTAGTTTTAAAGGCTTTTATTGGCAAAAAAAATATAACAAGTCAATATTTACAGTGTTGACCCTTGTTCTTCATAACCTCTGCAATTCGCTCTGGCATGCTGGTTATTAACTTCTGGGCCAAATCCTGACTGATGGCGATCCATTCTTGCCTTATTAGTTCTCGGAGTTGATCACAATTTGTGGGCTTCTGCTTGTTTTTCTGTTTTAATAGTTTATAGTTATATGTAACAAAAATCAGAAATCTCACACTCTTTACCTTCTGCATGGGCAGAACTGGTACTCTATGCACGTGTACTCTTTGAGATTGTTTTCATGAGATTAACCCAGTTGCAAGCCTAATGTGAATGGATCAGTGATTTCTGAAATCAACCTAATTAATTTTATGGAATTGGACTGAGTACTGTGCAGAATTGTTTTTCTGTACTCTAGATATTTAACTTGCTTTCACACTAACTGGATTTACATTATAGCTTTTACCATGGTTTATTATCTATGATTGCAAAAGTAGGCATCTGACATCTAAAAAAATGTGATGACCAGAGTTTGGCTAGATGTGTTGATGCAGGCCCACGGCAGACCACACAAATCCAGTTGTACAGTAGGTGGTAAGAAATGTATTACCCGCTAGTTTTAGTACTTAACCTCAACTCTGCACAAGCATTTCAGCCAGAGTAATTGCCTACTTGGCGGTCTGTTGATTTTTCTATTGTTTTGCTTGTGTACAGCTAGATGGATGAAGTCTCATTGCAGCATTGGCTTGACTTCAGTGAGTCCTGCAATGCCCAGCAGAGTTTAATTGTGTTACACAAACAGGGGACACAAGCACTCGATATGGGCTCTCACAGTGCACTTTGTCGTTAGTTTAGAGAGAAAGAAAAGAAATCAGAGCTTAAGTGAGCCAATTGTAGAGTCTTTTGCATTCCACTCCTGCTGTGTATCTAAAAAAAATACATTAGGCCAGCCTAGCTGTGCTGAGCTTGAATGAGAAGAAACGGAGAGCGAGAAGCGCACATATGCTCTGATTTGCTCCATCCGTAATCAGCTTTCTGCTCCAAGCGAAGCACATTCTGTGCAGTAAGGCTCTTCGTGACTCAAGAGTATTAGCCAAATTGAAGGCTAATATTACAATTTAAAATAACTATTTTCTGTTATAATGTGTGTTAAAATGTAATTTATACCTGTGATGGAAAAAACAGAATTTTTAGCAGCCATTACAGTTTTCAGTGTCACACGATCCTTCAGAAATCATTTTCATATACTGATTTGGTGCTCAAGAAACAATCAATGTTGAAAATATTTGTGCTGCTTAATATTTTTGTGGAAACATGTTTTTTTAGGATTCTTTGTTGAATAAAAAGTTCAAATGAGTAGCATTTTTTTTTTCTTTTCTTTTTTTCTTTTTTTTTTTGTGTAACAGTAAAGTCAGTCTTTAAAGGCACAATATGTAAGATTTTTTTATTAAAATATCCAAAAACCACTAGAACAGCGTTATATATTTTGCTGACTTGTGTACTTGCATTATCCCACATGTTTTGAAGAATGTTTAAATCCAGAGAAATAAGCAATTTTAACTAGTGACACGGACCGTGTCTATAGTGTCATTCTGTCACCTTCCAATGACGTCATAACCCCTCGATTTCTGGTTTTGTAGAAAACATGGAAACACCAAAAACGCTTTAATATGTTGTGCGTTTTAATAGACCGGTGACGACCGCACAGAGTAGCATAATAACAGAACTTTCAAATGTATCTAGAATGATAGACAAATAATAATAGGTCCGCTGCTTTCGAGCCGTGTATCGCGCTCATTCAGCGGCCTCGTTTCGCTTCGACGGCTTTCAGCCTCACCCTGCTTCATTCCACTACGTTAATAAATCATTAGCTCATCCATGAACATGATTTCTGCCTGAGTCCCGTCAGATTGCATCGGCTGTGGGGATGAAGATGACTCCCATGATTCCACACCCAGTCACGGCATCATCAAACTACGCCTTTATGTCTATTTGTTTATTTTGAATACGCGCCCTCTAGCGGCGAAAATTACATATTGTGCCTTTAAGTGAAGACTTTACTGTCACTTTTGACCAATTTAATGCATCTTTGTTGAATAAAAGTATTAATTTATTTTAAGGAAGTCCTCATCTAGTAATCATTAATTTTTATGTTTTGATAATTTAGTGCTTAAAAGGTGTCAGAACGCTTTTGATAAGCATGCTGAATAACAGACTGCAAATTTGAATTGATACTAAATGAGTAATTCATAGATGAGTTAAACATGGGGGAAAAACTTGGATAGACATGAAAGGTTTAATGAAATCTTATAGCCAAAAAAGCCAACTCATTCACCAAGTCATTTTTGAAGTTCTTGAGATGGAGAAAAGGTTGATTAGCTATAATTGACATCTTTGCACAATTTAAAATCAAGGCTTACCTGGTTTTTAAGTGTGTTTAACAATGAAATGGAGACAAGCCCCCTCGATTTCTGGTTTTGTAGAAAACATGGAAACACCAAAAACGCTTTAATATGTTGTGCGTTTTAATAGACCGGTGACGACCGCACAGAGTAGCATAATAACAGAACTTTCAAATGTATCTAGAATGATAGACAAATAATAATAGGTCCGCTGCTTTCGAGCCGTGTATCGCGCTCATTCAGCGGCCTCGTTTCGCTTCGACGGCTTTCAGCCTCACCCTGCTTCATTCCACTACGTTAATAAATCATTAGCTCATCCATGAACATGATTTCTGCCTGAGTCCCGTCAGATTGCATCGGCTGTGGGGATGAAGATGACTCCCATGATTCCACACCCAGTCACGGCATCATCAAACTACGCCTTTATGTCTATTTGTTTATTTTGAATACGCGCCCTCTAGCGGCGAAAATTACATATTGTGCCTTTAAGTGAAGACTTTACTGTCACTTTTGACCAATTTAATGCATCTTTGTTGAATAAAAGTATTAATTTATTTTAAGGAAGTCCTCATCTAGTAATCATTAATTTTTATGTTTTGATAATTTAGTGCTTAAAAGGTGTCAGAACGCTTTTGATAAGCATGCTGAATAACAGACTGCAAATTTGAATTGATACTAAATGAGTAATTCATAGATGAGTTAAACATGGGGGAAAAACTTGGATAGACATGAAAGGTTTAATGAAATCTTATAGCCAAAAAAGCCAACTCATTCACCAAGTCATTTTTGAAGTTCTTGAGATGGAGAAAAGGTTGATTAGCTATAATTGACATCTTTGCACAATTTAAAATCAAGGCTTACCTGGTTTTTAAGTGTGTTTAACAATGAAATGGAGACAAGGTGTAAGAGTCCGAGGTAACGGCTGAACACGGCGCGTGTGAAGGCGGACGGATGGGCGCTCTGTACATTTTTGCGTTTGATGTGCTGTCTTTGAAGTTCTAATTGAGCAGGAACAGTGAGGAGGGATGGAGTACTTAGAACAAGTCCATCAATCACGTGTACTTTTATATGCTCGCGCTCATTCAGCGGCCTCGTTTCGCTTCGACGGCTTTCAGCCTCACCCTGCTTCATTCCACTACGTTAATAAATCATTAGCTCATCCATGAACATGATTTCTGCCTGAGTCCCGTCAGATTGCATCGGCTGTGGGGATGAAGATGACTCCCATGATTCCACACCCAGTCACGGCATCATCAAACTACGCCTTTATGTCTATTTGTTTATTTTGAATACGCGCCCTCTAGCGGCGAAAATTACATATTGTGCCTTTAAGTGAAGACTTTACTGTCACTTTTGACCAATTTAATGCATCTTTGTTGAATAAAAGTATTAATTTATTTTAAGGAAGTCCTCATCTAGTAATCATTAATTTTTATGTTTTGATAATTTAGTGCTTAAAAGGTGTCAGAACGCTTTTGATAAGCATGCTGAATAACAGACTGCAAATTTGAATTGATACTAAATGAGTAATTCATAGATGAGTTAAACATGGGGGAAAAACTTGGATAGACATGAAAGGTTTAATGAAATCTTATAGCCAAAAAAGCCAACTCATTCACCAAGTCATTTTTGAAGTTCTTGAGATGGAGAAAAGGTTGATTAGCTATAATTGACATCTTTGCACAATTTAAAATCAAGGCTTACCTGGTTTTTAAGTGTGTTTAACAATGAAATGGAGACAAGGTGTAAGAGTCCGAGGTAACGGCTGAACACGGCGCGTGTGAAGGCGGACGGATGGGCGCTCTGTACATTTTTGCGTTTGATGTGCTGTCTTTGAAGTTCTAATTGAGCAGGAACAGTGAGGAGGGATGGAGTACTTAGAACAAGTCCATCAATCACGTGTACTTTTATATGCCCAAAAGCATGTTGAAGCACAGGCATCAGATGTTAGTTTTATTATTTAAGTGGAATATTTAAGTGAATATTTCTAATGCATTCTTTGCAAGTGTTTCTGAAGGTTCAGTCTGAGACTAATAGGCTTTCTGTGGCTTCAGAGGACATTTAATCCATAGACCGTGGAGCTGGCTTTCTTGTGGCAAACGGTTCGCATTTGCACGGACTCTTCACTCCACACATATGTATGGAAACGTACAATAGGGAAAGAGCCTGTGTCTAGCCTTGGTTTTACATGGTGGATGTTTACACATTTAACTGCAGCCTTAGTAGTGCGTCATAGTAGACAGCAGGGGTGTGTGGTATGACCAAAATCATATATCACGGAATGAGTAATAAGACTGTAGCTGTATATATATATAATGTATTTTTGCTGGATTTTCAAAGAATGGTTGATAATTATATGTAGTCATATGTGGTAATGTCGAGTTTTGGATTATCAGGTGAATTACATATTAAATTAATAATCTTCATTTCACTTCATTTCACTTCAATAACACTTCATTTCCAGCGATATCGTTGACATGATTGCAAAGATATTATTTAAACTGAGCTGGATGTTGACATCACTGAATTCAATGATGAACTGTCTTTAACTGAAAAATTTGTGTTTACTATTGTCATTTTGCATTATTGACACTATTTTCCTAATTAATGCTGTTCAGTTGCTTTGACACAATCTGTATTGTTAAAAGCGCTATATAAATAAAGGTGACTTGACTTGACTTAAATTAAATTAATTTAACATATTTTTGGAAATGGGATGTTGAGTTATGTTGCGTAAAGTTACGTATGTTAAGTTATTTTTTGGAACTTGGATTTATATCAGGGGTGTCAAACTCAATTCCTGGAGAGCGGGATTCCTGCAGAGTTTAGATTCAACCCTAATTAAACACACCTGATCTAACTTACCAAGTCCTTCAGGCTTATTTGAAAACTACATGGTATGTGTGTTGGAGCAGGGTTGGAACAAAACTCTGCAGGGCTCTGGCCCTCCAGGAATTGAGTTTGACACCCCTGACTTATGTGTACATTATATTACATTACATTATAATATATTACATCATGACAAAGTTAAAAACGAGAGAAACAAAACTGTAAAACTGTTTGTAATGCATCTCATTTTGTATTTTCTCAATGTTTACTCAATATTATTATATATTACTTAATGTTTTATTGTGTCTCTTGCATTTAAAGGGTTAGTTCACCCAAAAAAGAAAATTAGTCCATAAATTACTCACCCTCAAGTCATTCTAGGTGTATATGGCTTTCGTCTTTCAGACGAATCCAATCTGAGTTCGCTACAGCATCGATTCACTACAGGAGGACTTTGTTCACCCCCCGGTGCTGTGTGAGACACTTTTTATTAAGGATGGGCGCTTTTTATTTAACTTATTTTGGACTGATGCACTGCAACACCCGCTGAGTGCCAACAGCTTGAAAGATCAAAGACAATTTTTAACATAACTCCGACTGGATTCGTCTGAAAGAAGGAAGTCATAGGATGACTTGAGGGTGAGTAATTTATGGGCTAATTTTCATTTGTGGGTGAACTAACCCCTTAAAGACATTTAAAGTCGTCTGGCCTACTTATTATGGGTCCAATATACTGAAGGTTTAGCAACAGTTCTACCAACTGATGCGTTTATACAGCCATACTGGCCAAAAATCATATGCAAAAATACAAAGTCATGTGTTTTAACCTTAAAAAAAACAAAAAAAAAACTTTAGAGTTGCTTTGCAAAAAAGCATCTGCCTCTAAAAATAGAATGTAATGCAGAGTGTATTGTTGTATTTGTAAGTCTGGTTTAAATTGCAAGTGTTGGATAAATTACACTGGGTACCTGATGCCAGATTTGTTTACGCTGTGCAAATACAGTGCAACAGGATAACAGACATATTGTATACAGTCTATCTCTTTGTTCCCGAAGCCTCAAGCATGCAGAAACTGTGACGTGATTGCCATCAAATCTGCTAGCGGCTTGTACAAAGACAAATTCCTGATGCGTATGTATCCTACTGACACAGTTTTGCATTACATGTGGCTAATGAAAGCCATTCTGATTGCATTGCATTTTATTTGCGGTGCCATTTACGTGATGTAAAGACCAGCTTTGTTTTTCTTGTTTTCATAGTAAAACCCAGCAGCTGGTAGAACACCGCCACAAATCACATACCATGTGGTCATTGTAGTAACTCTCTGATCTTATTCTTCCTGACTCATCTTGTGTAATGTGACAGGTCTTGGGCACACCCATACCTGACGGTAACTGATCCCCGCTCTTAACTCATTCCTTTGGGTTTTTATAACTCCAGAGAGGAAAATAAACGAAGAATGACGTCCTTAGATGTGGTGCCAGTTTGTCTCCCTATTCCATGATCAAAGATGATCCTTTTCAAACTTGTAGAGTCCACTAAACATACGACAAACAAATCAAAGTTAAGGTGGATCCCTTTAAGCTTTTCTGTCTGCAGATTGAACATCAAACACCAAGCAGGTATCTCAGGAGCCAGTTGAGTTCGTCTCCGTTTGTGTTTACTTGTGACCGTGATGAGATTTACTTTGAGACAGAAACGACAGGCCAGGGAATCAGTGGATGTAGCTTTTAGCCTTTGGTTCCTTTGAGTATTTCCTGAAGTCACATTGCAATTGTGTGGTTTCTTATTTCAGTGTAACCTTGTTTGGAAACTGTCAGGAATGCTGTAAAAACCCAGAATCCCCTAACAATGGCCAGCCAAAGTTGATACTGCATTCTGCCAAGGGACACAATGTTCTGTTGTATCTATGTATGTCACATACAGTTACGTCTTTTGTGATTTTGGATTTGGACTTTTAAATATATTAAAATTTTTAAAGGTACAGTGATTTCTGCTGCACTATTAGCACTAAACAGAATTGCAGTTTTGTATGTTTTCTGAGGAAAATGGGTCACGGCTTGATGACCATGGGAAAATGTGTGTCCCATGGCCAAACCAGTTGAGAACCACTGCTCTATAATGTCTTAATCTCCTGTTGTAATGATGTAGCTTTAAGGTCATCTTAAGTAGAGTTTCATGGGCGTTCTGTTGATTGCTATAAAAACTTTACCCTGAATTCCACTTAATTTGATAATTGGGTCCAAAGAGGCTTTTTTCACCAAACTAAAGGTTAGGAATCAGCTGTCGGGTGAAAGGTCCACAGCAAAGAAAATACTTCTTGTGCAGCCTTGTCTTGCCAACAAGGAAATTTTTCCCACTGCGTTTTTGTGAGGTGTCAATTCAGTGTTGTTTTTGTAAATCCTGTCCTGGTATTTCAGGGGTGGTTTTGTGTCATATCTCCTGTTGGGATAGACTTGTGTGAGTGTGCGGTGGGTTGTCAGAGGATGGCAAGCGTCTGACAAGCCGAAGCAAAACACACCTAGTTCCTTGACCCCTTCTCTACGCCTCACCTCAATTCCTTTGCCTGTCTTTTTTAGGGATGTGTTTTTGTCAACTAGTGGGTGGGTTCTCTGAACGACTAGTCAACTAGACAGTCTTAAGAAACCTTGTATAATTGCATACTATTCATAATTAACTTCTACAATAACGCTTATATATATATATATATATAAGCGTTATTGTAGAAGTTAATTATGAATTATGAAATGACTTTTTAATACTAATAATAGTATAATTGTTTTATATTTTTAAGTTTGTTAAATATATTTGAATGACTTTTTAGGGAGTTTATGTAGTATGAACAACAGCAGAAAGATTTTTAATGATCTCGTCTCTTGAACAAGTTGCAGAATGAAAAGTGTAATTATACTTCATTATTTAATCTTCTTAGTAGCCCTATCCCATCTCAGTAGCTTTAATGTTGTTTTGGACCTTTTTGTAATGACGTTAATCGTCTCAAAAAGCATTTAAACGTGTTCATAATTAATTCTGAGCTTTCCATGTTGAAATTATCTTGTAAATTCCCTGCTGATATAAAATGATCTAAAGCTTCAGGAGGTTCTGCACCTTCTAAATGTGTGTCCCATGGCCAAACCAGTTGAGAACCACTGCTCTATAATGTCTTAATCTCCTGTTGTAATGATGTAGCTTTAAGGTCATCTTAAGTAGAGTTTCATGGGCGTTCTGTTGATTGCTATAAAAACTTTACCCTGAATTCCACTTAATTTGATAATTGGGTCCAAAGAGGCTTTTTTCACCAAACTAAAGGTTAGGAATCAGCTGTCGGGTGAAAGGTCCACAGCAAAGAAAATACTTCTTGTGCAGCCTCTTGCCAACAAGGACATTTTTCCCACTGCCTTTTTTCTGAGGTGTCAACTCAGTGTTGTTTTTGTAAATCCTGGCCTGGTATTTCAGGGGTGGTTTTGTGTCATATCTCCTGTTGGGATAGACTTGTGTGAGTGTGCGGTGGGTTGTCAGAGGATGGCAAGCGTCTGACAAGCCGAAGCAAAACACACCTAGTTCCTTGACCCCTTCTCTACGCCTCACCTCAATTCCTTTGCCTGTCTTTTTTAGGGATGTGTTTTTGTCAACTAGTGGGTGGGTTCTCTGAACGACTAGTCAACTAGACAGTCTTAAGAAACCTTGTATAATTGCATACTATTCATAATTAACTTCTACAATAACGCTTATATATATATATATATATAAGCGTTATTGTAGAAGTTAATTATGAATTATGAAATGACTTTTTAATACTAATAATAGTATAATTGTTTTATATTTTTAAGTTTGTTAAATATATTTGAATGACTTTTTAGGGAGTTTATGTAGTATGAACAACAGCAGAAAGATTTTTAATGATCTCGTCTCTTGAACAAGTTGCAGAATGAAAAGTGTAATTATACTTCATTATTTAATCTTCTTAATAGCCCTATCCCATCTCAGTAGCTTTAATGTTGTTTTGGACCTTTTTGTAATGACGTTAATCATCTCAAAAAGCATTTAAACGTGTTCATAATTAATTCTGAGCTTTCCATGTTGAAATTATCTTGTAAATTCCCTGCTGATATAAAATGATCTAAAGCTTCAGGAGGTTCTGCACCTTCTAACTTCATATGAGGAGCTCTCGAGAGATATGCAGATGCAAATTTAAAAGCGTGACTTCGAGAAGCGGCATATCAAATCCCCCTTTGAAGTAATTTATGGCTCTGTAAAACATTCATTCCTGTTGTGTTCTGCGTTTGATAAGGGTTGTACAAGTGCTCAACATCTCTGTTTCTGCTTCATGTAATAACGTTAATTGCAATAGTTCTCACACGATTGCTGATTTCATTAAAAAGAGGATTTACATTGGCTTGTCATTGTGATTTTGTACCAATTCTGACTGATTTGCTGTTCTCTATGAGGCCTGCTATAAAATTTTAATACCTAATCTATAAAGAAAACGTCCTGGTTCGTGGATGACCTAATGCCATCGGATTAACAAGAACAGCACCCATCACAAGGCAACCAAATAATCACATCTCCATATCTGACAGCACAGAATGTTTTTCCGCATAGGGTTTCCTGTAGATACGACAACTGAAGGCCTTCACTATCCCACGAGGCTTCTTGTTCTGACTGTAGGCATCTCACCCTTAATCTTGTGTGACATAGACAGAAGAATGATTGTCGCCTGCTTGTAGTTTCCATGCATTTTTAAAATCCATATTTGCATGCGTAGGGTGGTTGCTTCAGAAGCAATGTACTGTAACCGAGTGAGAGCAAGAGAGAAAATTGGAGGGAAATATTGGACCATAAAACTTGATCTAATAGAAATGGAAACCATTATTTTATATTGTAATAATATTTTGCAAGATTACAGATTTTTTAATGTATTTTTGATCAAATAAATGCAGCCTTGATGAGCATAAGAGACTTCTTTAAAAAACATTACAAGTCTTACTGATCCCAAACTTTTGAGCGGTAGTGTGCACATATATATATATATATATATATACAAAAACTTTTATTTTGGATGCGATTAATCGTTTGACAGCACTAATATATATATATATATATATATATATAAAGAGTTCATTTGCAAAAACCGATGATTTTTTTTTCAGAAATCACTTATTTTTTTATTGCACATTCAAAGTAATATCAAACTTTTTTTTTACATATTAAAAGTTTGTTTTATAGCAAAAGCAGATAACTCCAACAGTAATTTTTTGGCAAAAGCAGATCACTCCACATTTCATGTTTTAAAGTAAAAAAAAAACACTAATCTTTGTAATCTCCTCAGATGACAATGTAGATGCCTGACAAACATTGTTGTTGTTGTGATCATAAACTCTATGGATATGATTACACGCAATACAAAGAGCTTTTCCCTCGCCATTGTAACGCGCTGCTTTTGCAAGGTTCCGTGAAAACGTTTAAGCTTTTATTTTCCTTTTTCGCCCTGAAGAAGATATCACAGGTTCATCAAGTTCATCGAAATTATCCATCCTCGATCACTTTTAGTCAGCATTGACGAAACTCCTCTTAGCTAGCACGTCTTTTCAAAGTGAAAGTAGCCTTGTCACCTGACCTGAATACAGCGTGCTGATTCGCTAAAATTGACTTTTCGGCTTCTGTTCAAAAACAACAAGGGGTGCTTGTCGGCTTCTGCAGTAAAACGTGAACTCGTGATGCCTTGAAAGTGGACAAAACCGACTTTTTTGACAAAACGTGTTTAGGGTTCAGATTGCGCTAGATGTGGAGAATAATGCATGGCAATCAGCTCTTTTTTTTTTTTAAAGTGCCGTTTATTGTTTTTTTTTATAATGAACTCTTCATATATTAATTTAGTGCTCAATTAACATTTCTTCTTATTTTCAATGTTGAAAACACTTGCTTAATATTTGCTGCTTGATAAGAACAGTAATGTTTCGAAATAGCCATTTTTGTAGTATTATAAATGTCTTCACGGTTACTTTTGATCAATTTAATGCATCCTTGCTGAATAAAAGTATTAATTTATTAAAAAAAAACAAGAAATTACTGACCCTGAACGGTAGTGTATATATTTGTAATATATAAATGTGTGTAATTATATTACCTTTATCTACTACAATTTACAATTTGTTATATCTATCTAGCTGACAGCATCTTTCAAATCTTAATTTGGGCCACATTTAAAGTTTTGAGTCGTAACCTCTCCCTCTCTGGACACATCTGTTTAAGCTCTGGCATTCTTGACAGCTCTTTCTGTCCCTCAGGACTTGTGTTACCATCGTTCTTCACATTAGGGGCCCGCGCTGCAGTGCAGAACCTCTGGAGGAGCTATAAGTTGTAACCAGATGCCCCCTAAGACATCACACCAGCCCGTCTCGTTTTGAAGCACCCCATCCTGCAGTTTTATCTGTTGCCCCATGAGATGCAGTGACAGATGATACATTTTCAAACGGGTTGCAAATTCCACTGGCATGACGACACTGTGGTCTGTAGGTTTACTGCCGTTGCATCCTCAAAGCAAGACCGGCTGGCATAAGAGCAGCTCTTTAAAGACATCCCCTTCGTTCCTTTTTGCCTTGTCTTTAACTTTTTCGTGTATGCTAAGACTGCAAAATGTCAATGACAGCTCTGTTAAAATTGCCCAAAAAGTGCCTATGGCGTTCGTTTAGGGGTTCATGCTGTACTGGATCAATTATTTATGAATCTTTTATTCCCGTCGGTAATCGCATTGGTTCCACTGTACAATGTGACCGGCTCCTTGAAAGTGCATTCTTGCCATCACGCCGAATGAGTGCTCAAAGCGAGACCACCAAGGTGATCCCTCCATTTAATAGATGCTTAAATTGAGAGCCTGTTTA